CTGCGTAGGCCGCTTCAAGTTGGCTGTCAGAGGAAGCTGAAGTTTTGAGGGTTTATTTATTTATTTACTTTTAATCTTTTTTTTTTTTTTCCCTATTGTTCAGTGACTATTAAACTTGCCACAGCTGTTGTTTGGGGAAAGGATAACAAGCCTTTTGATAGCGGGGAGCCAGAACAATAACGTTAAGCTCGGTGTTGCCCTCTTCTCAAACTTTTTAATACTTTTAAACTAGTAATATCTTCTCTTACAGAGTTAGAGTAGTCAAATCTTTGTGTTTGTCTTACATGTTTTGCCATCTAGTTGCAATCCGTATTTGTGTGAAGATATGTGATAATTTAGGTTTTTCATGTTGTCTCAACAGAAATGTGGCTTTTCAGAACTGTATTCATGGCAAAGGCAAAGGAAAACAAAGCAGGAATTTTGTCTTCATGATGGTCCGCCTTATGCCAATGGAGACCCTCATGTTGGCCATGCGTTAAATAAAGTAAGTATTTATTCGTTTATACTCTTCTGTTTTAAAGTGGTAGATGCTTTTCGTAACGTACTGTCTATTCTCTGTTCCCATTTAAATTGCTAACACTTTAAAATGTTTGGTGTTTTGGGAGATAGGGCTCTTGATTTTTATTTTACGGATAAAAGCAAATGATAGGACAGAATGTGGTGTCTGTACACTTGAGGGCTCAGTTTGAGGCTAAATACTACACTTTAAAGGGAGAAAAATCTTTTAGAATATCTAGTCTGTAATTCATCCCTGAGAAGTATAAATGTACAACTTCTGTGTGTACAGGCGTCATTGCACCTCTGTGTGTATGTTTTTATATATATGTATATATTAAAAAGCTACTGTAACGCACAGTTGAGCTATGACTTGGTGTGTTTCTTTTCCTGTGAGTGTTTTAGAAGCTTGTTATATTGCACTTTTTTCTTTAATTTTATCTAGGTATCCTCAATGCCACCACAATGATGAAATGTTGTTTTTTTTTTTTAAGTACCTATTTTTAGCTTCAGAATAATACTATTAAATAGGTGTGGATATATTTAGATTGAGTCCTGAGAACGGCAGTATTATGTATACCACAGAGTGGGAAAGAATAAAAATATGACCCACGTATTAAGGTAAGAGTGTGGACTTCTGAAAACCAAATGTTTTGGCAGGTGATCACTTATACCAGGAAGCAGTAATGTGCACTAGGCTAGCATTGTAGCTCGACCCCTGTTTAAAAAGGAGGGAAAATAAGATTTGTTCACTTCAAGCCATGCAAGTTTTTAAACCGCATCTTTCAGTTGTCCTCAATGTGAATTCCTTTGATCAAAAGTCCTTTGGTGAGATTCTGCCAAGGTGCAAAATGAAGGGCAAAAGAAAGCACACGTGCAAGGCCTAAAATGCAGTTACGCAATTAATCATGCATTCTGTTAAGTTCGTCTTTACAGGAAGATCTTAAGTAATGTATGGCTATTCCACCTGGGGGAGCTACAGTGATAATTGTCCCTTCTATCTTACCAGATTTTGAAAGACATCACTAATCGTTTTTACATGATGAGAGGTTATAAAGTACATTATGTGCCAGGATGGGATTGTCATGGTTTACCAGTTGAGTTGAAAGCATTATCAGAAGTCAAAGGAGCTGCAAATCTTTCACCGATGGAAATTAGGCAAAGAGGTAAACTACGATTTGGAACGTTGGCTTAAATAGTTGTTCATCTTTGTCATCGTATTTTGAATTTTATGATTTTTAAGTAGTTTTTATGCTTTTTTGTACCTTTTTCTGTTAGGTGTTGGTGACGCTTTCTAGGATCACGTTATTGGCACTTTATTGCAAAGCAGATGGAGTACAATGTAATGTTATGAAGTGGAATAATTGAACACAAGCTTAATCTGTTGTTGTCATGAGCATGCATAGTATTGGCTATGAATGTAAAGAACAAGAGGACTTTCACTTAACTGTGTGGCAGCCTGAAACTAGTGTTTATCAGATCAACGTGCTTCTTGTGCTTTTGAAATCTGGGAAGAGCCACTGAACTTAATTACAAACTAAAAAAAGCACATGAAAATTCAGGCTAACTTGGATCATGTTTAGAAATGTATTTACGGACTCTGTTTCTAATAACGCTACAAAACTAGAGGTGTGATGCTTTCAGAGAATATTATTTTGCATTAGATGGGAACTGTTTTGAAAAAATATTTCAAATACCATGTGTATTGAATGATGTTAATGTTCATCTCCCAACTATTTACAGTGAACAATTTAGACTGCTTTAACTTGAAACAGCAGCAGTGAAACTGGCTAGCCTTAATTTCAGATGCATGTTGCTTTGAAGAGTTTGGATCAGCGTCGACAGAAGTGATTAATTTTCATTCTTACTAGTTGATTTTAGATCGTTTCTCAAAATGCAAGCAATCTTCATAACTAAAAATACTTGATTTATTTTCTTCCGCCTTAAAAAGGCGGCATGTGTTCTAGAGTCATGTGTACTATATGTCCTCGTGTTAGTCAAGTAGTCTCTCTCCTGGCTCCTTCTGCCCTTGCCAGTTATTTTGTTTAGCTACTCCTGTGAAACACATTTTTGAGGCTTAATAATCCTTTGAATGCACATCATTAATTAGTATGTAGTTTCCCTGTATTCAGCTCCAGCTCTTCCTTCTCAAAAATGTCAATAGCATATTTTAAATGACGTTAATTTAATCTTAGTGGATCAAACCATATGCTTAATGGAGCTATTCCTTTCAGCCAGGGAATTTGCAGAAAGAGCAATTGAGAAACAGAGATCTGCCTTCATCCGTTGGGGCATAATGGCAGATTGGGCTAACAGCTACCGTACATTCGATGGAAAGTATGAAGCAAACCAACTCAGAGTCTTCTACAAAATGTATGATAAGGTACGTTGAGCTGCTTTTGAACTGTGTTTTGACTCGTTTGTGTTAGGAGTTTTGATTCTATTAACTTTCTTTCCTCTGCTGCCCCCCCTTCTGCTTTAGGGTTTCATTTACCAGGACTATAAACCTGTGTTTTGGTCTCCTTCAGCAAAGTAAGAATCAGCTTACTATTTTGTCTCTGCCAGTTTAACAAAGATCAGTGACTTTTTATGTTCACGTATGTTAACCTATGTTTGATATCCACCCAGTACAGCCTTGGCTGAAGCAGAACTTGAATACAATGAACAGCATGTCAGTCGTTCTGTGTATATGAAATTTCCCCTGTTAAAGTCACCACCTAAGCTGACCTCTGTATTAGGTATGACTTACATTTAGTTCTTAAGACCGGTAGCTTTGTTTTATATTATTATTACATGTAAAATACTTCTAACTTACGTCTGTAGATGGATCGTCCCCTGCTAGTGTGTTAGTCTGGACCACGCAGCCTTGGACTGTGCCAGCCAATCAAGCGATTTGTTACATGCCAGATTCAGCGTATGTATCTTTAATTCAGTTCACTGGTCTGCTTCAGTTCTTATCAATATTTATCAGCAAAGTTAAATTAAGACATTTTAGACTACTATTAACTTTTAAGTGACATTGTCAGCTTTGTTCTATCTCTCTATTAATATATTATTTTCTGCTTTTATTTTTAGCGTTTTTAAAGTTATTTCTTCTTGGGTTTTTTTTTGGAAATTCTTTGGAGATTTAAAAGTGAATTGGATGTGTAGATTTAAAAACAAGTTCTGTTTTGTTGTTTTCTAGAGTTTAGAGTTTAAACTGCTTTTAGCTTTATGGTATTTGTAATAATTTAGTATCATAAATATTTATTTGTATTGTAGGTATTCCATTGTGAAATGCACAAATACTGGTGAATACTTCATTTTGGCTGCAGATAGAGTTGAATCTACAGCTGCTGCTTTGGACACACAGTTTGAGGTTATCTCAACTTGTAAAGGTAAATAGATGATAAAATATCCTGTCAATGTTAAGTTGCTTAGAAATCTGTTTGTAGGTGTCCATAGAAACTACTTCTGTCAGATTTAGTCTTGTGGTGTATTGTATCTGTCTCTATCAAGCATAGATTTCAAAATGCTTCTTATAATCTGGCTTTGTCTTTGGAAAATTTGAATGTGAAGTTGGAGTCTGTTTAGTACCAAAATCTTAATTACACTGAATGCAGTTTGTCTCCTTCATCCCTGGCCAATGTAAAGAAGGGGCTAACTTTAAGAATGCTTATTGACCTCCTATCTGCTGAAGTCTTCCTAAATTGTTGAAATTACCTAGTGCAGCAGAATCAGCAACAGTATTAGCCGTTGTTGTTATCTGATATTGCTTTTTAAGGTTTTGATAATTATG